AGACATTGTACAATGAGTCATGTAAGCCATTTATGACATAGTTCCGACACAGGAAGTCAAAGTGCTTCCATGCTTCAACAGCATTGAAGACTTGCTTATCCGTTTCTCCATTGGATAACTTAGGAGCTTCCTCAGTCAAGAATCTCGCAAGATTCAAAGTTGTCAAGTAAAACAACATCTTTTGCTGCCACCTTTTGAAGTTCGATCCGTCGAACTTTTCAGGTTTCTCACCATGATGGACGAAACCGCGGAAGGACAGAGGATGAGCCGAGGCAATTTGGACAGTGAGGCATAGGCGAGTTTTTGGTGATGTCGTTAGCGACCACATCGACACCATCGTTTCCAGCAGCCACATCCATGACTTCTTTACCAGTAGCCATTTGAATTTGTAAAAGCACGAATCTGTTTTAAGATTGTTGCGAAATTCAAATTGGCATTAGTATAAAAATCACAAACAATACAGAATCGCAAATAAACGAAATTGCAATAACAAAGTTGGAATCGATACAAATGAATACCGAGGCCTGTGTTTGACACAGTTTCCTTAAAACAGATTCGTTCCCCTCAGGACGCGTCCGAGGTTTCGTGAACGTCTGTCTCCCAGGATACAACGGTTGACTGCTAAGAAATAATCAGGACTTCAAAGCTTCCGGCGAACTTGAACAAATTGCGGAACTGAACACTATCGAAAATCGTGCAAATGCAGAGAATATAAAACAGAGGAAGAATGATTTCGATAAAAATAGAACGCAGGGGAGAGCATTTCGGGAATAATAACGGCCGATTAAATCTGTCATTACAAAATCAATACAAATAACGGACGATTAAATCTGCCGTTATAAAATAATACGAATAACTGATGATTAAATCTGTCGTTACGAAATCAATACGAATAACAGACGATTAAATCTGCCGTTATAAAATCAATACGAATAACGGCCGATTAATTCTGCCGTTATAAAATCAATACGAATAACGAACTATTAATTCTGCCGTTATAAGATAAATACGTATGGGAATAACGGCTGATTAAATCTGTCGCACGTTATGAAATTCGTAACTGTTTGAGTTGAAAGGAAAAATAAATCAGAAGGCAAAATTGGGCTCGTCGCGAGGCCCACTTTTCGGTCCTGCAATCGTGTACGCTCGCGCCCAAGTTTCAGCTTGTCGGGCGTCGGATTTGCACCCCCCCTGCGCCTGCGCGCGAGGCAGAGAGTTTGTGCTATGATAGTTACCACTTCAAATAAGTGTAACTGTATATAAAGCACTCCATAGCCTTCTTTCTTTTCCGATGTGGGACTAGCGTTTTTCCACGTCCCACTTCCAACTCAAGGGTGTTTTTTGAGCATCAATTTCTCATTCATTCACCCATCAATTTATCCCATATTTCCAACAATCTTTTTGTTACTCGTGGTAGAAACTAAGGTCGGGGGAGTCATGACTTCCAAGTCACGATTCCGTTCTTGGCCTTTTCCCTCTGTAATTTATATTGTCATACGATAAACCCATAAATAAAAATTATTTCATCTTTGAACTTTTCGTAAACGCGGAAAAGGAAAAAGCAGTTGCTACGTGGTCCCTCGACTTTTGCTTAATTACGAAACTGCCCAAAATCGGAAGTTAAGAAAAACAAAATTGATAAAATCCACCCAGGATTAACGCAAAAAACCACTTCTCCACTTGCCACGAACTTCCCATGGTTTTCTTCGTCACTCGCACTGCCTCTGCTCCGCTGCTCGCGCCGCCGCGCGCCGCCGTCCTTATCCGGTCCACCCTATAAATAATAGCCACCAACCTCTTCTCTCTTCTCCATCTTCTTCCTCATCGCCATTCTCTCTCTTCGCAGACTTGCACAGACCAGACCAAGACTCTGAGTCCATCGTGCTCTCTCTCTCTCTCTCTCTCTCTCTCTCTCTCTCTCTCTCTCTCTCACACCCACAAAATTTTGTTCCATCACAAGCTCCCATCATCCTTCCCCCGCCTCCTCTTCTGCTGCTTCCACGATGGCCACGCTGCCGTCTGCCATGAGGCCGCCTCCTTGGGCTGCGACGACGGCAACCGCCACTGCAAGGCAGCTCGATCGCCCCGCTCGTGGCTGCTTTCGACGGCTCAAGAACTTCTGCTGCCGGAGATCCAGTACAAGTGCCGGAGAATTATCACGCGGATCGGGAGGTGCAGGAGGCAGGGCCACGTCGCGGCCAGAGAGTTCGGGTACAATCTGATGAGCTACGCGCTCAACTTCAAGGACGATCGGAGCCAGGAGTCGGACAAGGAATTCCCGCCGAGGAACTTCTCGACGGGCCGCCGGTGTCTCGGATCGAGTCTTCTTGCCGTGAAGTTGCCGAGGGAAGTCGTAGCTTGTAGTTAAAATATTTTTCTCTGAAGATCTTTTTTATTTTGATCGACAAGTTGGGTGGAGGCTATCAACAGTCCTTGGAAGGATCCAAGGTGCCTGTACATATTGTAGATTTCGAGATCTCAAATACATGGAAAATATGCTTGGAAGTTGAGAATTGTGATAATAGAAAAATGTAATTTTCTGGTCATTCATTAATGAAAAGTACACGAGACTTTACAGGATCAATTAAGAGAAATACAATATATATATATATATATATATATATATATATATATATTTCTAACATCATAGGTCTGATTTTAGCAAGAGCTCGATTTTCTACTTCTATAATAGAACAAGTGATAGTCATTTGATTCTTACTACGACATGAGAGAAGTGAGATGCCCAAAAAGAAACAGTAACCCACAGTGGAGCGACAATCTTGAGGGTTACTAGCTATGAAATAGAGTCGTACAAGACGCAGTCATGTACTAACTAACAATATGGATAGCATAGGCTATACCAAATTGAGTAATAGTGAGATATATAAGAATGCGGACTAGTTGTTGATAGAGCGTAGGATTCGAAAGAGGATCATCAAATTTGGCATTTGTCTTAAGAGGAGTTGTAATGATCTTATTATTTGTGTGTTTGGCTTGACAGATGAGATTGGTGGCATACTTGACTTGGGAAATATTATAACCAAAGAATCTGAATGAACCTCTAAGCCTAAAAGCTTAGTCGCCCAAGATCTATCATTTCAAACTGTTGATTGAAATATTACTTGAGTTTTGAAATGACAATCAGAATCAATCAAGAGAAATACACAAAATCTCCTATATATATATATATATATCTATATCTCCAACATTCGATATGTCATCATCGTCTCCGTTTTGCTTTCGCTTTCTGTCTGGAGTGTTTCGTGTTTGAGCATTTTTACTGATCAGTGTTGCGTGAATTAAATGCGAACCAACAAGAAGTAATTTTTGTCTTGGATGAATGGACTTACTTTTATGGATAATGTGGATGCAACTTTATTTGAGTTGAGCTCGAGTATGGCGATTTTTCTGGTCAAATCAAACTCGAGCATAAATTTTAATACTCGATTAAGCTCGAGTTGACTTTTAAATGTCACGTATAAGGATCGAGTCGAACCGACCTCGAGGCCACTGTATCGATTGGACTTGACTCAAAGACACCCCTAGAGACAAATACCATATTTCCCCAATTATTTATACCAAATTGTCAAGTGAGCAAGCGTCCGGCGGCGGGCACCGATGGTTGGGTGCATGGACCATTTCCTCGGACGCTCAGTTCGATCCACACCGATGTGGAGCGCTCTCACATGTGGACTCGCACTTCGAGAACCACACGAGCCCAACGATCACACGAGTCGCTCGGCTCGTGAATGACTAGAATCCAAGCCAAATGACATGACTCCCCCATCATTCTTAATTATTAGTTAATTACAATGATTATGTCGTAGCTACTGAGTATTGAGGAACATTCACCGTACCCACGTTTCGTTCACGCACCATGGGACATCTCGTTTATTATAACTAGAGAGCGAGAGAAAGCAGGCAATTCTAGGCATGTGGGAAAGCCAGCTTGGAGATCTATGAAACCACCATTAGAAGTTGAGCTAGTGTTACGTGAATGAAATTAAGTGGAGATTAGTGCAAGGGCATCTTAGGGAATGAGATGGTTCATTTTTACTAACTTTAATTATCGGAGTAACCCAGGTTAAACCCCTGATTCACAATTTATTTGTGCATGCAAATCGATTAATGCAACACGCTTTCTCAAGCTGGGGATCAATTTGCGCATCAACACATGTTTAAGAGATGCATCAACACACCAACAAAGCACTGGTTTAAGTGGTCTAAACATTACCTATTCGCTCAAAAGAAGTTGCATTAACACGACTCAAAGCTAGTATTGTGTGGGACATTGAAAGAAAATGAAAAGTGATTAGGTGATAGAGGGATTCAAATCTTCATATATCTGATTCGATATCACGTGAAAAATTAAACTTCCGATCAATTCCCTCTCTTCTGTCGCCTTGCCTCCAAGTTATACTCATTTAGCCCGCAATGTTTGACATCTTATTGATTTTATTTTTGGATCTAATCGTGTCAATCACATTCTCAGGATTGTGGATTCTCCAACTTCAAATGAATCAACTTTCCCGCACTGTAGTTGCTTCAGGAGACTAAGGTCAGAAGCTATGACATTGAAGTCACGATTTTGTTCTTGCCATTTATTCTCTTTATTCATGAGTATTAAATGAATTCACAATAACTCTCTTTTCACTCTCTCTTGCCTTCACTTGATGGCTCTTGCTTACTCCATGCTCTCACCTTAATTTGGACATGAGTTTTTCTAAATTTGGGTTAAATATAAAAGTGTTGTAGCAATATGAATATGCTCGGGTATTTGTTGAGTACGGGTGACTAGATTTGTATTGCATGGAAATAGATCGATTTTGGTTTGACCATCTTCGATCTGAGCCAACTGTTTGACAAGTATAATAAAACCCATGAAAAAGTCATTTCAATTTCTTGGTAAAACAAAAGAGAGATAAAAAAAAAAAAAAAAAGCAGTTGCTACGTGGTCCCTCGCATTTTGCTTAGTTACCAAACTATCCAAAAGCGGAAGTCGAGAAAAACAAAGTGAAAAAACCCACGCGGGATTAACGCAAAAAACCGCTTTCCCCACTTGGCCACGAACGTCCCACGGTTTTCTTCATCACTCGCACTGCTCTGCTGCTGACGCCGCCACACGATCGCGTCCTTATCCGGTCCACCCTATAAATAAAACCCACCAATCTCATCCCTCTTCTCCATCTTCTTCCTCCTCACCATTCACTCTCTTCACTCTCTTGCACAGACCAGACCAGACCAAACCAAGACTCCGAGGATCGCTCTCTCTGTCGAAATGTTGTTCAATCACAAGCTCAGATCACCATCCTCCCCTTGCCTCCTCTTCTTCTGCTTCCACGACGCTGCCTACCACGAGGCCGCCTCCTTGGACTGCGACGACAGCAACCACCGCAAGGCGGCTCGGTTGCCCTGCTCGTGGCTCCGCTCCACGGCTCAGGAGCTCCCGCTGCCAGAGATCCGGTACAAGTGCCGGAGAATCATCATGCGTATCGGGAGGTGCAGGAGGCAGGGCCATGTCGCGGCCTCGGAGTTCGGGTACGATCCAATGAGCTACGCGCTCAACTTCGAGGACGATCGGAGCCGGGATTCGGACGAGGAGCTCCCGGCGAGGAACTTCTCAGCAAGGCTGCCGGTGTCTCCGGATTGGTTGCTGCCGGCGAAGATGCCGAGGGAAGTCGTAGTGTGTAGTATAAGTCTTTTTCTCTAAAGATCCTTCTAATTTTGATCGACAAGTTGGGCTATACCACAGTCCTTGGAGCGATCCGCAGTGCCTGTACATACTGTAGATTTCAAGATCTGAAATTCATGGAAAATCTGCTTCGATATCTCTTCATCGTCTCCGTTTTGCTTTCGCTTTTTCGCCTGGAGTGTTCTGTGTTCGAGCATTTTTGCTGATCAGTGTTATGAAATACGAACCGACAAGAAGTAAATTTTGTCTTGGATGAATGAACTTACTTTATGGATAATGTGGATGCAACTTCATTTGAGTCGAGCTCGAGTGTTACAATTTTTCTGGTCGAATTGAACTCGAGCATAAATTTTAACACTCGATTAAGCTCGAGTCGAGTTGTAAATGTCATGCACACGGATCAAGTCAAACCAAGCTTGAGGGCACCGTATATGATCGGACTTGACTTGAATACACTCCTAAAGACAAATGCCACATTTCTCTATTCTTATACCAAATTATCGGGGGAAAGGGAAATGACCAAAATAGTCTCAAGTCTATTGCATTTGTGTTAATTCAGTCCTAAATCATTTAATTGTGCCAATTGAGTCCTAAACCTTTCAAAATTTTGCCAATTGAGTCTATCTGACAAATTTTAGCTAAAAATTGCTGACGTGGACATTAGCTGTCCAATGTGATATGGCTGGCACTGACGTGGATAATTTTTATAATTTTTTTAAAATTTTCTAAATTTTCTAAATTTTTCATTCTTTTTTCTTTTCTTTCTTTCTTTTCCTTTTTTTCTTCCAAGCTTGGTTAGGGCCTCGCGCCCATCGTCCAATGGCCGGTGAGGGTCGGCCAGCCCTCACCTATGACCAGCTGGGGTTGGCGAGAGTTGGCCGGCCCTCGTTGGGCTTGTAGGATTGTCTTACGTGGTCAGCGATTTTTGGCTAAAATTATTTGGATGGACTCAATTGGTAAAATGTGAAAATATTTAAAATTCAATTAGCACAATTTAAATTGGCACAAATACAACATATTTAAGACTTTTTCAATAATTTTCTCGATTGTCAGGTGAGAAAGCGTCCGGCGGCGGGCACACTCACTCCAATCCACTCTGACGTGGAGCCCTCTCATATGCGGCCTTGTACTTCGAGAACCACGCGAGCCCAACAATCACGCGAGACGCTCGGCTCGTAAATTGACTAGAATCCAAACCAAAACAACATGACCTCCCCCATCATTCTTAATTAATAGTTAATTTCAATGGATGTGTCGTAGCTACTGAGTATTAGGGATCGTTCATCGTTCCCAGTACCCACGTTTCGTTCATGCACCATGGGACAATCTCGTTTATTACAACAAGAGAGAGAGAGAGAGAGCAAGCAGTTCTTGGTAAGTGCGAAAACCAGCTTGGAGATCTATGAAACCACCAAGTGAAGAGCTAGGGTCACGTGAATGAGATAAGTGGAGATTAGTGTAGGGCATTTAAGGAATAAAATGATTCATTCTTACTAACTTTAATAATTGGCCGCCATTAGTTCTATATTGATGCCAAGACATTCATTCTTATGGGATGCAAATGTACTCGTCACGACGGTTCGTGATGTTATTGTTTTTGCTGTTGAGATTTGTTTCGTTTTGAACCCTTCATATATCATTTTAAGATGTAAATGAAATATTCATTTTCGAACAAAAAAAATTATTGGAGTAACCCAATTTGAATCCTCAATTTTAATAATTTATTTGTGTGTAGATCGATTTATATAGGGTTAAAACCGCGAAAAACCCTAAACTGGTACACTTGTGACAGATTTACCCAAACTATTTTTTTGACCATAAAAAACCCCGAACTGGTACATCTGTAACAATTTTACCCCGAACTATTTTTTTGACCACCAAAAATCCCAAACTGGTATACTTGTGATAATTTTATCTCGAACTAATTTTTTAATATTATTTTTTATTTTTTCGAATTTTTTTAGTTTTTCTTTTCTTTTCTTTTTCCTTTCCTTTTCTTTTTTTTTTTCCTTCATCTTCAACCTATGGCCGGTCGCCGGTCCGGCAACCGACCGAAGGCGGGGGTAAGCAAGGTCGGCCCCGCCGGCCGCTGGCGACGCCGACCTCACCGGCAACTGGCAAGGTCAGCCTTGCCCCACCCCTGGTGAGGTTCGACCTCGCCAGTTGTCGGCGAGGGGTCGTCCTCGCCGTCGCTGGCGAGGTTCGACCTCGCCGCTTCTGGGAGAGGCTGACCTAGCCAGTTGTGGCGGGGCCGACCCTCGCCAGCGACGGCGAGGACGACCCCTCGCCGGCAACTGGCGAGGTCGAACCTCGCCAAGGGTAGGCAAGGCCGACCTCACCGGCCAGAGGTTAAAAATGAAGGGAAAAAAAAAAAGAAAAGGAAAGGAAAAAGAAAAGAAAAGAAAAACTAAAAAAATTCGAAAAAAAAAAAAATAAAATTAAAAAATTAGTTCGAAATAAAATTGTTCGATGTACTGGGTTTTTGGTGGTCAAAAAATAGTTCGGGGTAAAATTATCACAAATGTACCAGTTTGGGGTTTTTTATGGTAAAAAAAATAGTTTGGAGTAAATCTGTCACAAGTGTACCAGTTTACGGTTTTTCGTGGTATTAACCCATTTATATAATATGCTTTCTCAAGACATTGAAAGAAAATCAAGAGTGATAGTAATTTGGAGGTGATAGAGGGATTTGAACCTTCGAATATTTGATTTGATGTCACGGGAAAAATCCCGATTAATCCCCTTTCTTTTTGTCGTCTTGCCTCCAAGTTATACTCGTTTAGACTGCGATATTCCAAATTTTATTGGTTTTCTTTTTGGATTTAATCGTGTCCATCACATTCTCAAGATTATGGATTCTCCAACTTCAAATAAATCATCTTTCGCACGCCGTAGCTATTTCAGGAGACTATGGTTAGGAGTCAAGACTTTGAAATCACACTTATGTTCTTCACATTTATTCTTTCGATTCATGTGGTTGTATGCTCAAACCTAAATCTGTTAAAATGGGACATAAATTTATTTCTTAACCCATATCTGATAGTTTGGGTCTTTTTTATGGATTAGTAATATTCAGTAAATAAATCATAAATGAATTTAGAATGATAAGGCTCAAATAATGTAAGTGTTAAATACGTTAACAACTTACTTAGATCCAACCTACCTCTATTACTCTCTCTTCGCTCCCTCTCGCCTTCACTCGATCGCGCTGGCTCACTCCGTGCTCTCGTCTTAGTTTGGGTATGAGTTTTTCTAGATTGGGCCAAAAATAGAAGTGTTTTAACAATATGGGTCTAATCGGATACGTGTTGGGTACGAATCACTAAATTTGTATTACATGAAAATTGGTCAATTCGGCTCGAACCATTTTCGACCGGATTCGACCCACCTATTTGATAGTTCTAATAAAACCCATAAATAAGTTATTTAAATTCCAACTTTGGTAAAACAAAAGAAAGACTTTAAAAAAAAAAAAAAGCAGGACCTATGGGGTCCCTCGACTTTTGCTTAATTACCAAACCACCCCAAACCTCACGCGGGATTAACGCAAAAAAACCGATACCCACTTGCCCCCGCGAACAAACCCTCGGTTTTCTTCATCGTCACTCCCACGTCGACTTTCCACTCTGTTCTGCCACGTCCTATAAAAAACCAACCTCATCCTCTTCTCCATCTGCTTCCTCATCGCCATTCCCTCCCTTCACAGTCTTCCACCGACCGCGCCAAGGCTACGAGTTCGTCGCTCTCTCTGTCGAAATGTCGCTCAATCACAAGCTCAGATCATCGTCCTCCCCGTGCCTCCTATTCTGCTGCTTCCAGGACGGCCACGCCGCCGCCGCCGCCTACCACGAGGCCGCCTCCTCCTCGGACGACTGCGACGACGGCAGCAACCCCCGCGAGGCGGCTCAATCGCCCTGCTCAATCCGTTACAAGTGCCGCAGCCTCGTCGCACGGTTCGGGAGGTGCCGGTGGAGGCAGGGCCACATCACCGCGGCGGCCTCGGGGTTCGGGTACGATCCCATGAGCTATGCGCTCAACTTCGAGGACGATAGAAGCCGGGAGTCGAACGAGGAGTTCCCGGCCAGAAACTTCTCGGCGAGGCTGCCGGGGAAGTTGCCGAGGGGAGTCGTAGCTTGTAGTTGACGTCGTTTCCTCTGGCAAAAAAAAAAACATCTTTTTGATTTTGATCGACAAGTTGGGTGGGGGCTATCAACAGTCCTTGGAGGGATCCCAGTTGCCTGTACATATTGTAGATTTTGAGATCTGAAATTCATGGAAATTCTGCTTCTATATGTCGTCCTCGTCTCCGTTTTGCTTTCACTTTTTTTCATCTGGAATTTTCCATGTTCGAACAATTTTTGCTGATTAAGTAGTGTTGGGTCAATGAAATGCGAATCGACAAGAAGCAAATTTAGTATTAGATGAATGGGATTTACTTTAAGGATGACGTGGATGATAACTTCTTTTTTGGTGGATAGGGATAGGTAGCGGCCGTTTCGACCCGGTTAGGTGGCAGGCCGTGTCTGTTTTGTGCTAGGCCGGGTCAGGCCCACGGGCCAGCCTAGGCCCGACAAGTTTCACATTGAAGAATGTAATCGTGATTTTATTTTGGAAAATCTTCAATGAAATTTCTTTTTTGCTTTATCATCCCATATATAAAAGAAAGCTGATAACGTGGGATTTGATGGTGATGATATGCACAACAGAAGTGAAAATTTATAAACAAATGGTCTATGTTAATTTATTTTTAGATTCTGCTCGACAATTTATCCATGAATTTGAATGACAAAGTGGAAAAGACCTAGGTTTTTTATTTGGAGAGATATCTCTTTTCATCAAAACTAATTTTTATGGAAGTAAAATCCGACAATTAAAAAAAACACATCATCTTTTAATATACATGGGAATTTTATTTTTTTGGTAACTAAATCTTACATAAAAATAGAAAAACTTAAAAAGAAAGGAAAGTAAAATCATTTGTGACCGGCACTTTAAATTGCAATCTAATAATCGAGGGCAATTTTATCTTTTCGACGAAAATCGGGCAGACCTAATCACACAGAAGCGGAACTAGTGCTGCCCAAAAATTATTTAAATTCAATCTTGGCAAACACGGAAAAGTTAAAAAAGGTAGCAGCTTATCCCTTATC